CTGACTCAACATTTGCTACATCTTCCTAGGTGATACAGATAGTGACTTTTTGGCTTCACAATGCAGCATTAACTCTGTGTGCGTGCGTTCAGCCCTCTAGGTTTATTTCCGTGCATCTCACTTAAAACAAGGCGATACTTGGGCTACAGAGTCTGTTGACTGTAACCTTTATGGTAATGTCTGTCCACTTCAAGGCATGCTGGTGTGTCCACTTTAATTGTCTCAAATCACAATTTCTATTCGGCAGCAGCGAGTTTGTTCATTGTCTTCTGGATTAGTGTCTTGGTGAATGTCTTTGTTGGCATAGTGATGGATGATGTTTGCTGGTCTTACCGTCTATAGATTTGTCTAACTGCTTCTTTAACATCGGGGCAGATGGAAAGTCTGTTGATGACCGAAGGCAGGTGTTTGTGTCACCATTGCTCTCTCTCTCAAATGCACAGTGGCCTCGACATAGAACAGCATTGATGCAACTACTGAACACGATTCTTGAAGTCTTGTTTTGCAATTACAGTGGGCTGAAATAAACTGCCTATCTTTATGTAGAATAATCCATTGGTGGAGAGATGTGGCGTTCATTCTCTGGGAGTGTAAGACATGTGCCCAGTTAATGTAGATGGGGCAGTCCTCTACATCATAGATCTCTATAGATCTATGTAGACCAAAAAATCCCTCACTTGAATACACACAAATCATTGTAGGCATCCACACTTTAATGATTTTTAGAAGTGTTAGTGCATGTTTAGAAATGGCTGGGCTAAAAGATCTTGGTACGTCTGTCCTTGAATGTCAGTGCATTGCCTGCCTGTTTCTGTTTGAAAATCTTTTACCTCTTCAAAAAATGCTTAACAAAAATTTTTGAAACACCACATGTATACATGTCTCAATTGAAATAATTATTTTATAATTTTTACTTGTTTTGTATTATGGTTAACTTCAGAATCAGAAATCAGCGTTGTCAGAATTTGTACCTCACGTCACGCTATACACTAAAAATTTCATGAGGCAAACAAAATAAACTTCCGGATTCCAACTGCAATTCGATCCGAATGTGGAAAACTCAAAATGACATGCGATAAATATTAAAAATTAAAATGCTGGTCAAACGTATTAACGTCCACTGTTAGTGTTAGTCGATTTCCGATTTTAGTCGAACTGAGCCCCAGGCACAAATGGTCGCTTTTGCATTGTTTTTGTCCAATAAGCCAGTTTGTAGTTAGCCAAGGGGTTGTGGGACGTCACAGGTCACCGGGTCATTTGTGACAAAAATCGATGAAATCTCGAGTGCGGCGTGCGCTCTCGGTTCAGTACGCATGTTCATGTATTCTGTGTACGTGTAGAGGCACGCATGTGTACGTGCACACGCACGCATGTGTATGTGCACACGCACGCACGTATGTGTACGTGCACTCGCACGCACGCACGTGTACGTGCACACGCACACATGCACGCACGCCCGTGTACGTGCACACGCACGCATGTGTACGTGCACACGCACGCACGCACGCACACACGCACGAACGCACGCATGTGTACGTGCACGCATGCACGCACGCACGCACGCACGTGTACGTGCACACGCAAAGACTAGCATTACAACGACACAGACGCATGCGTATTTGTACTGTACGGTCGAAATACGAACTATTTTGTCACAAATGACCTGACCCGGAAGAATTCGTGGCAAAGTTCGCCAATGTGCAGACTGTAACTACGAACTGGCTTATTCACCTCATCAAATAGGGAATTACCAAGTTGTTAAGTAGCCATCACCTAGTAGCGTGAGCGTGTGAGTAGGTTTGGTGATTTTAGCTAAATACATGTGTCGGTCGCTAGCTTTTGTGATGTCTGGAAATTGAGCCAACTATACGTTTTTGTATAGCAAGAGTTTGAAACAGTGTATAGATGTATGACTGTTCCTTTCGGAGCTACTTCCACATGTGAAGGCTATCATCTTCACGTGGTGGTTTGCCATGGAAAAACGTTTGAGCACTGAGAAACGGTATTCCCTGTGAAACTCCAGCTAAAACTTTAAATCATGGTCAATATGGTAGCTATGAAATGTGAACTTTCGCATTTTGTTTGAAACAGGGAAAAATGTAGCTCAATGCTATTTTTCATTTGTTATTAGACAAGAAAGTCTGATAGATGACACATTTCTTGACAGAGTAAAAATGCTCGTAGTGACGACTATAGTTGTTTTGGTGATTTCAACTAAGAAATTCATGTTTGCATATCAGCAAGAGTAGATAATAACACAAGAGTAACACACCCGATTCCCGCATTTTTAACCGATTTTTCTCATCAAAATTTGCCACCAATAAAGAAGCGATCCCGCATTTTTAACCGATTTTTCTCATCAAAATTTGCCACCAATAAAGAAGCAAGTGTATACGTTCTTTAGCTTATTATGACCACTGATCACTCACCTTCGTGGTACTGATATTCGTTTACATATATTTGCTAGCGTATTGCTGTAAATCGTAATCTTGCACGAGCTTAATTCGCACAATTTACCGCTATTGTGTGAGGTGTTAAGACAAATTTTGAAGCTATAGTGGCGCCAATATTTATCAACAGACTGTTTCCAAATCATTCGTGCCCCGATAGGGGTTTAATGTACTTGATTACCTGTGCGTGCGTAATGTGATACTTACTGCAAACTACTACAGAGAATATTGTTATTATTGTATTATTACTTATGTAAGATAGTATGTCAATTTATTGTGTTGCGATCACAATAACTGAGTGCGTCTCGCGGTTCCTCACGAGATCAAAATTTGAAATTTAGATTGTCTCTCAACCCTATCAAGGCACGAATGATTTGGAAACAGTCCGTTGCTAAATATTGGCACCACTATAGCTTCAAAATTTGTCTTAACACCTCACACAATAGCGGTAAATTGTGCGAATTAAGCTCGTGCAAGATTACGATTTACAGCAATACGCTAGCAAATATATGTAAACGAATATCAGTACCACGAAGGTGAGTGATTAGTGGTCATAATAAGATGAGGAACGTATACACTTGCTTCTTTATTGGTGGCAAATTTTGATGAGAAAAATCGGTTAAAAATGCGGGAATCGGGTGTCTCACTCTTGTGTTATTATCTACTCTTGATATCAGGCCATCTGCTTACAGGGTAGGTCACAAGTCACAACCAACCTTTATTGCTTCAAATGTGTTTTTACTTGCTATGGCACGTAGTTAGGAATCAGTTAAATTCCCTTTTTAGCTCATCTGACGAAGTCAGATGCAGCTTGTAGAATCGCATGATTGTCCGTGCGTGCGTGCGTTCGTCTGTCCGTCAACAGTTGGGCACAAATCTTAACTGCTCGACGTACGGTCACGATATTCGGGACGTGGGGGGTAATCCGAAAACGAGTTGGGATGTCGAAGCTGGGGCCAAATCACTGTGCCGAAATTGGAGGTCACAGGTCAAAGGTCAATGGGGCACAGGGCAGATTTTAGACATTTTCTGAGGACATGGTCTGACGGAGCGATTGAAAAACTTTTTTGTTTCAGCGGTGACCTACCATTTTTATGGCTTTATTGAAAGGACCATAAAATGTACTTTCCGCTGACATGCGAAGAGTAAGTGTTGGATAACCTTTTGACCCTCAAGAGGAGGGTTAAACATGGATTTGTTGACTGTTAACAAAGGACTGAACTGCTTTTGCTATTAAAGCCCCCTCCACCCGCCCCTCCCCCCCTCACCCTTCCCCACCACCACCATCACGCTCACGCTCGACGCATATCCATGATAACATGTTAATATAGCGAAGTCATTAAAGTTACACAGCTGTATCTTTATTACTGTACTACCAGTAGGTATAGCAAAGCCTATCATAGATTTTAGATCTGTATTAGTAGTATCCTAGATATATGCTCTGAGCGCGAACGCGGTGGCAGGAGGGCGCACTTGATTCGGTTGCCAGTGAGTTTATCAGAAGAATACCTGGCTACAGTACACGTCAGTTGAGCGCTGTCACTCTGCGGCACTTGTTATTTTATTCCCTTGGTGGTACAAGACGTGATTGTACATTGTGTGATTGTGCCTACGATTGAATCAGGAGTGTATCAATACACTATCAATTTCGATACACTCCTGATTGAATGCATACATGTTACGTACGTAACTCACAGACTCACTAATACATGAACGCAACGCACACATACATCGAGGAGAATGGTAATGTCAGTGTTAATGCAGTACATGTAACCGAGTTGTGAAAAAAACGTACCCACATAGTAAAACAGGAGACTATATTAGCAATCTGAGTGTTTGAGCCTCCACCATTGATTCCAAATCAATCAAATGAAGTGAAAATGTCCAAATCAAGTTTGTGTGAGCGTGGCAAAGGCTAGGATACTTTTTAGCTTATAATTTATATCCACCCTTCTTTGTATTATGATATGGATTTATGGATGAAATTTAAACGTAAACTGTTTGATGATTTTTCTAAATATTTATATTTGCTTTTTCTATCCACTCTCATGCATATATATATGGAAGCGTCTTTAAAACTAGCTGCATTGACAAAACTAAAAGCAGTGTTTATTACGACTTTCAGTGTTTGGTCTATTAGATATAGATGGTTACTGACAGGGGAGCTATATTCACATTGAGTGCTCGTAAATCTGGAAGTAAGGTAGAAAAATTTCAGGGGTTTCTTCCAATTTAAAATTTTCTACTTGCCAAACTTTATTATATATAAAACTCTCTGCGGTAATGTTACTGTTTCAGTTTCATAAACTTCTCTGTCGTAATGCATTGCCGCATCTGCCTCATAAATCTGTTCTAGTTGATAGTCATCATTCTAGATATTACCGTGAATGACTACTGCATTCATATATAGCTTTTACGTGATTGTGGTAGTATAGAGAAAGCTACTCATATAGATCTCCTGTGTTTATTAGCAAGCAGTAGTCCCAAACTACGTATTTAAATATCTTTTTGTTTTTATTTTCCATGTCGGTTTCAATTGACGTCCACAAGCTTTTAAGAAGAGAGAAGGCCCAGATGGCAAGTGCTCACTGAAATTGGACTAGTAGACTAAGCATTTCTCTGTGAAAAAATGAGACATAGTTAAAGTTTGATGTCACTCGGTTTTTCTGGAACGACAAAATTGTAGTTTTCATTGTAAGGGTAGGACAAGTAGATAATTATTAGCAATGTATGCACGTTTATTTTGAACAAAAGCCAACTTATGGAACGTGTGTGTTGAAGACAAAATCACGTTAGAAATTTATCACGTTTCTACTTTATTCGGATCAGTAAACTTTAATGGTGACCTTCAATTTAGAATAATGGGTGCTAGAGAGTGAGCAAGCGAGTAACTGTAATATTCTCTCTTTGTATAGGTGATTGCTTTGTAGTTAATGCTCACGTGAACCCAACGTGCAAGGACGGCCAGTTTGACACATCAAAATCCACATCTGATCTTGAACAGAGCCTGAAGAAATCGATATCGGTAAGGACGTAAAATTAGCATGTATTAGTAGCACATGTATGCACCAGACAGGAGACACTCTGCAGAACTAGAGTCGGAGGGTTAACCCCTACTGGGGTATTTCGTGTGTCCAGTGCCTGTGTGTGTGTGTGTGTGTATGTGTGTGCGTGCGTGCATGCGAGCGCGTAGAAAAGCTTTTGTGTGTGAATGAGTGAGTACTAAGGCAGCTCAGCAGGTCAGCTAGCATAAGGCCCGTACAGCAGACTGTCAGCGGTGTGGTAGCTGTATTTGCAATCGTCTATGGTGGGCTCTGTTCAGTGGCTATATTTGGCAGGCCCGGGGCAATCTGGACTTGGCCACGTTGTAATCTGGTTAGCAGTGGTAGGTCTGCATTGCAAAACCTCCCCTCCGCATTCATTATTAGTGTCTGTGTGGGAGGGGTTTGTAAAGCCAGCTAGGGAACACTTGGAACGCAGAGGACGAAAGTGTATATTTTCTGTCATTTGCAATTTGTTGCTATTCAAAAGTTGTGGTAATTATATGTTGACATCAACATATTGTAAGTGCATATATGCATAACTGTGAAATGCATAAAATTAGTTATATAATGGAAATGTAATTTTTCCCTCTTCGTTGTTGTTAGTAAATCGAATGCCTCATGTGGAGGAGGCGTATATTTAGTATAACGTACGAGGTACCAATAATTCCTGGCAGGCACTACAGATATTAGCAGTTCATTGATTATGGTACATTGGTCATGCAGCGATAATTATTCGTGACAGGATAATCGGTTTTGGGCCCATTGTCAGAAGAAAAAAATTAGCTTTTTCTTATAGACAGAAACATGGTAAAGTTACGAGTTTCATATACGCAGTGTACAGAGGGTCCGGTGAAAGAGAAAGAGTAAATGTGAAGACCAATTCTTTTTCTAGCAACTTGCCCCTGGCTTATAGCTGCTATGACGTCAGTCACGTCGTAGAGAAATACAGGAGCGTAGTTGTATATAATAACAGTGTATAAATGTGTGGAAAACTGTTTGTAAATGTATGTAAACCACAGTGTGTAAATGTTGTAATACACGGCTCAGTGTAGCTAACCCATTTTGCCTGGGGGACAAAGCCGCGTGCGTGGTGTGTTCTGGGAAGATGTATCTACATTTATTCGGGGGATGGGGCAACTGCCCCATTTACCCCCCCCCCCTAGCTATGGCCCTGTATGCCAACAACTCTTCTGACCATCGCGCATGAGGTTTTAGTTAAGGATGGGGTAGCAGTTACACATTTACAATGCACTACCTTCCACCCGCGTGACAGGCAGAGGTGTGTATGTGTGTGTGCGCGCATGCGTGCGCGCGTGCGTGTGTGTGTGTGTGTGTGTGTGTGCGCGCGCGCGTCTGCGTGTGTGTGCGCGCGTGCGTGTGTATGGGTAGAGACGTGGTGCCTATTGTTAATTAATAAGCCATTAAATAATTATAACAATGTAAACAAAAGTATTATCTGTGTATTAATGTGTAAATGGTTCTTGTGCATATTGTAAGAGATACTGGCAGATCTTCACCGATGTAGAGAGTGTATGTGTTCACGGTGTTGTGCGGAGTTGTTTGCGGATAGGCAGTATTGTAGACAGTTGGCAGCTAGTGACACTGACAGCCGGCGCGAACATGCTGCTGGTGCTACTTCTGCTACTGCTGCTGCTGCTGGTTGTTACTGCTGCTGCTGCTGCTGCTGCTGCTACTGCTGCTACTGCTGCTGCTGCTGCTGCTGCTGCTGCTACTGCTGCTGCTGCTGCTACTGCTACTGCTGCTGCTGCTGCTGCTGCTGCTGCTACTGCTGCTGCTGCTGCTGCTGCTGCTGATAAT